AATTGCCGTACACCAGAAGCGATGTGTGACACGGAGTGTTGTCATGATGGAGATGATTGACAGCACACTTTAAAACACACCTTCTCTCAACCGCCGCTCACACCCGACTGACTGCACCAAACAAGTTGAAATTTGTCACACGCACACTGTTACTAAGGTTCCATGCGCCGCTTCCCATATTGAAGATCCTGCCTTTCTTGGCTTGGATGGCACTCAGCAGCAGCGTTCACTGTATTTTGTGATCACAAAAGGCTCCATGTCACACACCGCTTCTGATTCAGCAATTCCTGTCAAATAAAAACATTACAGAGTGTCCTCATCCACCTTATTCACTGGATCTGGCACCGTGTTGACTTCTGGCTCTTCCCCAAAGTCAAAATAACCATGAAAGGCAAANTTATTTTATTTTTTATTTTTTTCATGTCAGATGGGTAATGTGCTGATGTCGTAACAAGGCTTGTGGCAGGCACGTCTCACACACAAGCGTGAGCTCCCAATCATCACACTTACGAACTCTGAAAGGATCCTGAGTGGCCATTTTAAAAGGTGCCAGGAAAAGGGAGGTGGGGACTTGGGGCAGAAATCCAGGCTCAGGCCCTTCTCCTAGCATCCGGGCTCGGCGCCAGCAGGGCTGCCACACGCCAAGGCAGCAGTTCCAAGTGGCTGTTTTCTGATCCTAGCAAGTGACAAGTATGTGACAGCAGCCCCGGGCCATCTCGGTCCTCATGTCTTAACATAGACACAGGCTCCTTCTGGACCAGGTCGACTCATGTTTGTCTTTCGTAGCGTTTTCTTCATTCTCGCTCCCCAAGTGCATCTGGGGACGAGCCACACACAGAACCAGCGGTCCTGCGGTGTGGGGTGGCCCCTCACAGCTGGGACACGTGCTGCATTTGCCCTCCCATGTTCCTGGAAGGCAGTGGGGCCATAAAGATGTCCATACTTTTTAATCAAGTAATTTCACCATTAGGGCTCTGTTCTAAAAACTGCCAGAACCGGAAACAAAACCACAGAACACAGATACAAGAAGAAAAGATAAGAGTTGTTAGTTTAACAGCGTTAACAGGAGACCCAATGGCATTTAAGGCTGAAGACGGTTGTCAGAGTAAAGGAGGCGACTTCATGATGCTACAGGCCCCGTTCCCCAGAGGACCAGCCGCGGGCTCTGGACGGGGCAGCACGGCCCTGCAGCCTGGGAAGCAGACACAGCCGCACCTGTGAGGAGGCTCAGGACACTTCCCAGAAATGGATGGATCCGGTCAAGACTCACAAGGATGTAACAGCATTGACACACACTGACGGCCGTGGTCTCACAGATAAGAACGTCACGCCCAGGAATGAGGACTGTCCACTCTTAAGCGCCCAGAGGACCACACACCAGGGCATAAAAAGGAGTCCCTGCAAGTCCCAAGGAACGGCTTCCCATGGGGATCGCACTCTCCGACCACGATGAGTTGACTTGGTGTCCACACTGAGGGGACACGTAAGACCTGCAGACCTGAGTAACCTGGAGGAGGAGCGCCACAGTGGAAGCTGAGCTGTTTAACTGAGCAGCCAAGGGCCACGTCACAAAACTGGGAGATCGCAGCTGACGTGCCCATTACCGGAAATTGTGTTTTTAAGTGCAGTTAAATTGAAAAGCAAAAAAGGATTAAAAATAAGTGAGGTAAACCGTCAGCCCAAAAGCTGGAAAAGGAACAGCAGCAAACCGAAAGGAAATAAAGACAAAAGCAGAGAGAAATGAGATGGAAGTAGCTTTAAAAGTTGACAGCTGGTTCTTCACAACGATTAAAAAATAGAAAAACTTGTAGCAAGACTGACTAATGAAGACAGGTGATTCAAGGGTACATTAGGACAAAGCACAACTGTAGACACTAGTGTTTTCAGTCAGAGAAAAC